CCCCCCGTTGTAGGTATTTCCGCCAGGAGCTGGAGAGGTTGGATGAAGGCCTGCGGAAGGAGGACATGGCCGTGCACGTGCGGCGCGACCACGTCTTCGAGGACTCGTACCGGGAGCTGCACCGCAAATCCCCCGAGGAGATGAAGAACCGACTGTGAGACCCCCCCCAAAAAAAAAGTCACCCCAAAGGGGGCAGCCAGGGGACCCAGAGTCGTTGAGGCGGGGGGGAGATCCGCAGGGGGCAGGTTTGGGGTCTTGTAGGGCCACCCAAGATCAGCTGAGAGGTTTTAGGATGGGTTTGGGGTGACGTGAGATCCTTAGGGTCAGGTTCTGGGGTCTGTAGGGCACCACAAGGCCACCTGAGAGGTTTTAGGATGGGTTTGGGGTGACGTGAAATCCGTAGGGTTGGGTTCTGGGGTCTGTAGGGCACCCCAAGGCCACGTGAGAGGTTTTAGGATGGGTTTGGGGTGACGTGAGATCCTTAGGGTCGGGGTCTGGGGTCTGTAGGGCACCATAAGGCCACATCAGGGGATGTGTGATGTGTTTGGGTTGTGTAGAGATCCATGGGACCAGGTTCGAGGGGTCTGTAGGGCACCGCAAGGCCACCTGAGAGGTTTTAGGATGGGTTTGGGGTGATGTGAGATCCTTAGGGTCAGCTTCTGGGGTCTGTATGGCACCACAAGGCCACCTGAGAGGTTTTAGGATGAGGCTGGGGTTGCATGAGCTCCTTAGGGTCAGGTTATGTGCCATCCCCCCAGGACCACAGAGGGGATGTAGGGTGAGTTTGGGGTTATGTGAGGTCCTTAGGGACAGATTTTGGGCTGGGTGGGCTCTCCCAGAAGAGGGTTACAAGTTATGGGTGGCACCAAAGATGGGTTTGGGGTTATGTGGGGTCCTTAGGGACAGATTTTGGGGGGTCTGTAGGGTACCCCAAGTCTACCTTAGGGGATGTGGGATGGGTTTGGGGTGGCGTGAGATCCGTAGGATGAAATTTTGGGGTACGCCGCATCCTCCAGGACTACGTCAAAGGATTTAGGGGACCCCAGAGCTGGGTTTTGGGTTGGTGTGAGATATGTAGGGCCACGTTTTGGGGTCCGAGGGGCCGTTTGGGATCCCATCAACCACCCCTTCCCTCTCCCCCCGCCGCAGGTACATCGTCTTCGAGGGCGAGGAGGGGCAGGACGCCGGGGGGCTGCTGCGCGAGTGGTACATGATCATCTCCAGGGAGATGTTCAACCCCATGTACGCGCTGTTCCGCACCTCGCCGGGCGACCGGGTCACCTACACCATCAACCCCTCGTCCCACTGCAACCCCAACCACCTCAGCTACTTCAAGTTTGTGGGGCGCATCGTGGCCAAAGCCGTCTACGACAACCGGCTGCTCGAGTGCTACTTCACCCGTTCCTTCTACAAACACATCCTGGGCAAGTCTGTCCGGTAAGGAGCGTGGAACCCAAACGATTTGGGGGTGGAACTCGGCGATTTGGGGGCGTGGGACCCAATTGGAGTGAGCAGAACCCAGTGATTTTGGGTGTAGAACCAGACTGTGGGGTGCAGAACCCAAGCACAGGGTGTGAAACACAACTGTAGTGTCTAGAACCCAACCACGAGGCAGAGAACTCAACTATAGCATCTAGAACCCAACCACGGGGCATAGAGTCCAACTGTAGCATCTAGAATCTAACCATGGGGCATAGAACCCAACTATGGTGTCTAGGACCCAACTGTGGAGTGTAGAACCCAACTATGGTGTCTAGGACCCAACTGTGGAGTGTAGAACCCAGCTGTCCTGTCTAGAATTCAACTGTAGCATCTAAAACCCAATGGTGGAACACAGAATTCAACTATAGCATCTAGAACTTAACTGTGGTGCATAGAATCCAACTATTTGGGGCATAGAACCCAACCACAGGGCATAGAACCCAACTGTACTGTCTGGAACCCAACTATTTGGGGCATAGAACCCAACTGTAGTGCAGAGAACCTAGCTGTGGAACCCAGCTGTAACATCTCAAACCCAGCAGTGGTGCAAAGACTCCAGCTGTAGTGTGTAGAACCCAACTGTCTTGGGCGCAGAACCCAAATGTGGGGTCTAGAATGCCATTGAGGGGCACGGAACCCAGCAGTTGTGTGGAACCCAACCATTTTGGACATAGAACACCCAAGAATTTTGGGTGCAGAACCCAATTATTTGGGACGTGGAATCTAAGCACAGGGCATAGAGCCCAACCATAGCATCTAGAACCCAACAATTTTGGGCAGAGAACCCAACTGTAGCGTGGAGAACCTAACTGCGGGGCATAGAACCCAACTATTTTGGGTGCAGAACCCAAAAAGGTATCGAAACCCCCCCTAAACAATATGGGAACCCCAAAAAAGGGGTGCTGACCCCCATTTCCACGCAGGTACACGGACATGGAGAGCGAGGACTACCACTTCTACCAGGGCCTGGTCTACCTGCTGGAGAACGACGTCTCCACGCTGGGCTACGACCTCACCTTCAGCACCGAGGTGTGCAGCAGGGGGGGGACACCCCACAAACGGGTCCTCTGCGTCCCATGGAGCCCTGGGGACATGGGGACACCCCGAAATCCGGTCACCTGTGGCCCGTAGAGCTCTGGAGACACCCCAAAATAAGGTCGCCCCTATGGTCCTAATCTCCCTGCCAGTGGTGCTCCTGATTCTGGGTGTCCCCTCTGTCCCAGGGGTGTCCCCTTTTGTTCCAGGGACGTCCCCTCTTTCTTGGGGTGTCCTCTCTGCCCCACGGATGTCCTTCTGCCCCAAGATTTGCCCCTCACCCCCCCGACCGCCCCCAGGTGCAGGAGTTCGGGGTGTGTGAGGTGCGGGACCTCAAACCCAACGGAGCCAACGTGCTGGTGACGGAGGAGAACAAGAAGGAATACGTGCACCTCGTCTGCCAGATGCGCATGACCGGTGAGACAGGGGTCTGGGGGGCCGGGGGGGGGCAGGTTGGGGTCCTGGTGGTCAAACCCCCCCCCTCTGAACGTCCCCTGTTGTCCCCCAGGGGCCATCCGGAAGCAGCTGGCCGCCTTCTTGGAGGGTTTCTACGAGATCATCCCGAAGCGCCTCATCTCCATCTTCACAGAGCAGGAGCTGGAGCTGCTCATCTCGGGGCTGCCCACCATCGACATCGACGACCTCAAGGCCAACACCGAGTACCACAAGTACCAGGGCAACTCCATCCAGGTGGGGGGAAACCCCAAACCCTCCTTACCCCCGAGGTTGCCATCCTGGTGGCACCTCACCCCCGTGTCTCCATGTCCACTTGCGTGTCCTCCATCCCCCTGTCCTTCTTCCCTGTGTCCACACGTCTGCATGCCCTGTGCCCTTGTCTCTTTGTCCTCACATCCCCTTGTCCCCACGTCCCATGTTCCTGTGTTCCCACACCTCCCCATCTCCATCCATCTGTGTCCCCATCCCTGCGCTCCCACATCCCTGTGTCCCCGCAGCCCCATATCCTCACGTTCCCTTATCCCCACATCCCATGTCCCCATGTTTGTTCTTTGTGTCCCCACATCTCTTGTCCCCCTGGCCCCATGTCTCCACATCCCCACTTTCCTCTGTCTTTTTTCCCCAATCTCATGTCCCATGTCCCCACATCTCCATATTCTTGTGTCCCCACATCCCCATGTCTTCCCATCCCTGCATTCCCATGTTCCCACAACCCATGTCTCCGAATCCCCATGTTCTTGTGTCCCCAAATCCCACATCCCCGTGTTCCCATGTCCCTGTCTCTCTGCATCCCCATATCCCCAC